GGAAGCAGAGAGTTTTGGGGAATGAAGAATGGCACACTTTGCTTCCAGCTCTTTGGGCAGACTTTCCAACCTCTCCTCTGTGGCTTTCACCTCAAACAGGAGAACGCTCCCAATGAAGAGGTTAACACATCACTTTTTAGAAGATAATTTTTGCCTCCTAAGGTGACATGCCTCGCCTGGACAGCAGTCAATACCCAGCCTCTGCCAAGGGGGGTTGGGTGTGGGGCAAAACCGATGACTGACTAAGAAAACACCTGCTGGCTCTCCAGACCTGGCCGGGGAGTCCCACTCTGGACTCTGCTCAGACCCATCCGAATGACCTGGCTTTCAAGGTTCTCGAATCAGCTGTAGAAAGGCCTTCCCTTCCTTTTGTGGGGGGAGCAGGAGTCCACCTGTGTCTGATTTCACTGTACATTATTTACCAGTCCTGGACAGCTTGGCTCTTTGAGGTGACGTATTCAGTCCAGACAAGAGCAAGCCTGTCCCCTGGGAGGGTGCATGTAACTGGAGTAGGACCTGAGCTCAGCCGCAGACAAAATTCAATATGCACAGGGCAGGTCAGCAGTGTTTGTTCCCCAAGCGCCTGGCCCCGCAGCCTGAGGTAGCTGTGTTACTGTAACTGTGCACGTCTCTGTGTGTCTGTGCCTCTTGCTTTATAAAGTATCTTTGCAGACATGATCTGATCTAATTCTCACGGTCACCTCACCAGGTAAATACTAACACCTTATTATAGAAGAGGAGACTGAGGCTCAGAGAGGCTAACTGGGCTCTGTAAATATCACCCAGCTAGTAAATGCCAGAGCCATGAATCAAACCCAATTGTCTAAACTCCATGTCGCTTCTAGAGTCACCTACTGGTATGTACGATTACTCTTTTCAGAAGAGTTCAGCATTATTTTTGTATGAACTCTGAATTCTTTCACTTACGGGCAGATAAACAGTAGATGTCATGTACAAAAGGAATAGGAAAAGAAATAATGATGCAGCAGTGTTAGCTAGAAGCTGCTTTTAATTCAACAAAACAAACACTTAGGTGTTTGTTCAAGACTTATGCATTTGTTCAGTTCAATAAAACAAATACTTTGAGGTGTTTACAGTGTGCGAGGCATATGGTGGTAAATACCGTCTTTCTACTCAAGAGTTCACTACCTGGTAAGCCATACTGAGGCAACTAACTATTCATATGCAATGAGGTGAATGCCATACTAGTTGGGAAACTGAGGCACAGGGGGAATAAGTCACTTAGCAAGGGCACAAGGATAAGTATAGAAAATGGGGGACTACCATTCCCGTGCCCTCACCTCCCAGACCCTACTGGCTCCACAGTATCTGCTCAAGAAAGAGAGGAGCCTGAATTTCATCATCAGTAAAGCGAGGGTGATGCTATCCTCTCCACGAAGGATTACCTGAAGGTCAGTGAGACATTTGTAAACTTACTTGGTGATAAAGGTTAGGTGTTAGGTGTGGCGATCATTCTAACTAAGACAAGCTGACCCCAGAGCAGCCTCTTGACCTCTCAGAGACCTCTTCAATCATGTCTTTAAAATCCGTTCAGGCCTGACAGAAATCCTTTTTTCTTTTATCTTCCACCCCATCCTGAGTGCATTGCCCCTGACATGATCTTTTCAGGAGCGTCCTGGGCTCCACAAGCCAACACAACACCCAGCCCTGTGCTTGAGTGACAGGCCTGCCGCTCAGGGAGGGCCTCAGTTAACATTTGCCGTCTCGTATAATTCTTATTATGAAAATTCTGTGTGGTCACGACCACTCATGGACCATTTAGTAGTATATTCGGTGCTCCTCCTGGTTTGTAATTCAGTTTTCCCTAGTCTAGCCACCCCCACCCCCCAAGGCATTTAGGGAGGAACTGGATAAAAAAAGCTTGTGCTAAAGGAACAGCTGAAGGAGAGCAGGCCTCCTGCAGGTGCTGTCGGTTACCAGGAGGACAACCCACAAACAAATGACACAATTTTTTCAACTTTTCAACAAATGTGCGTAGAGGGCCACGTGTGACAATCAGCTAAGCAGAGGTTATGATGGCAGGTTATAGTGAGGCAAACAAGCCCACCCCCGGGGAGCTAAGCAGCAGACGCACTCAAGCACAGGGATCGGAGAGCACAGATGTTGGAGCCAGGCCCGTGAGTTCACATCTTGTCTCTTCCAGTTACGGACTTGCTGCGGGATCTTGGGACGGTCACTTAACCACCCTGTGCTTCAGTTGTACCTCCTCATCTGTACCTCGCAAGTGTTGTGGAGATTAAATAAGGCAATACAGACTTAGAACAGTGCTTGCCACAGGGTCAGTGTTGACTATTATTCCAGTGGGGTGGGTGAGACCTACAGGAAATACACAAAATAACGAAAGGTGCTAAGGACCCTTGGGCCCCGATTCCTTTAGGAAACAAAAAAGAGTGTGAGATGGAGAATAACAGAGGTAGAGAGGTGGGCAGAAGAAGAGCTCCTTTGGCCAGGTGATCAAGGAATAGCTGTCTGAAGCAGTTGACAACACAGCTAAGACTTGGGAGGTGAAAGGGGGCGCAGGCGAGGGAGAGCGGAGGGAGCAATCCCGGAGAAGGAACAGCCCAAAAGCCCTGGGGCAGGAACAAGTGTGGCCTATTGGAGGAATGGAAGACAGACAATGGAGCTTTGTATATAGGCGGGGCTAGTTGGAGAAAGGCTTTGTAGGTCCTGGCAATGAGTTTGGGTTTCATGCAAAATGCAATGATTGCAGGGTTTAATCCAAGCAGGGAGGGGAGAGGTTGGTTCAGTTTACATTTTATGAGGCTCACTCTGGAGAATGGATTGTAGATCAGCAGGGGAGAGGCCATGGTGGCCTGGATCAAGTGGTGGCAGTGGAGTTGACAAGAAGCACGCTGATGGGAGACCTAGCCTGGAGGCAGGAACTTGCTGATGGATTGGACTCACTATTGTTGCCAAGACAGGAAAGGTATAGAGTAGACAGAGGCCTGTGGGCAGTGGGGGGGACCCAGCCCAGCTTAGGCACAAGTGTGCCTCCTTGTGGGGCTCTGATGGATTAACACCCAGAACTGAATCCCGCCCAGCCTTAGCACTTCGGTGTCCACCCCACTGTGTTCCCCCCAAACCCTCAGGCTCCCCACAACTGGCTCAGGCCAGGCCCAGTGACTGACTTGGTTCCGTTGAGCCCCAGGCAGCAGCACCAAACAGAAGTTTGTTCCCATTTTCCGCAGGAGATGAGACCACAGTTAAATATGCCCAACAGTGGATAAAACACACAGAAAGACCAATTGCTTGTGGGGAGAAAGACATCAGGAGACACTGGAACCCATCCCCGTTGCTCTCCACCCTGCCGCCTCCTCACGTGGGTTTCAAGGAGGGAAGGGCAGGCCGTGTATTTTCCCTGAAGGAGGGCTCTTAAAACACCTAGGAGTGAAGCATCCTTCCCTCACCATTTCTTCAGTAATTTCTGGAAGGAAAGGACTTACCTTTACTAACTAAACATTGTTAAAAATAACTAAATACTAAAATAAGCATGAGGCTTCCTCAAAACCACGAAGCAGATGGGCCTGCAGGAGTCAGACCCCAAAGTCACTTGCTGTGTGAGGGTTCCTGCCCCAATTTCACAGCTTCTAAATCTCTGCAGATGCCACAACCAGTGGTAAAGGGAGGGTGGGGTTAGGATGTATAGATTGTTATCCAATCTCTCTCAGCAAGATGAATTTAGTACAATAAAACGTGTCTAGGACTTGTTATCCTTGGGCCATCAGGGAAAGAGTGAAACTCTGTGCCTAGCTTCCGTCTGTCACCTTAGTTTCTGTCTGTGTGGTCACCTCCCATATGGCAGAAGCAAGGGCGTGGTTTGTTTTATTCCCAGAGTAAAGGGGTCCCCCTAGAATTTGGGCTTACATCCCTTATGCTTCTTGCTAAAGCTCTTCCCAAGCAAAAACCAATATCCTTCTATCTTTTGGGAATTTGGAGTTGCCTGTTTGCTTGGATTTTTTTTTTTTTTTTAACAACTTTCCCTAAATCACAAAGAACTTCACTAGAACCCTCTGGTAGTAGTTGTCTGTCAATCACAGAGTAGCAAATTGAGCAATACCAATTCCCCAGGTGTCTGTCTGCCTTGCCACAGCTCTGGACAGCGTCTGCATCTGGAAGAACATTACCTGGGTAGGATCACTGGACGGTGGTCAATAAATTGTCTTAGCCAGGCAGCCATGATGGATGGGATTCTGGAAAAAGATTCAAGTGAAGGTTCACATTGCAAATTTATACGCATTTCTGGGTGTGAGCTATCTAGTACTACAAAATCCTTCTTGAAAGTAGAAGGGCTACCCATAGCTTCTGCTAGACTATTTAGGGTACGAAATAGACTAGTAAAGGAGTACAAAAGAAATGGAAAGCATAAACCAATACGCTTTCCTTTAAAATAAAAAATACTGTGCCAGCGGGGCATGTAGTCCCCTTTCTCACCTTTGTTAGGATGCCTTTCTACTGCACAAACTTTCAGGCTAGGTATTACATTTCCCAGACTCCAGGGCAACTAGCGTTCTGATATGAGTTGGACTCCTCCAATCAGATGTACTTGGTGAGATTTGGAAGGTGGAAATGAGAAGGAGGCCATTTCCTGAAGCTTTGACTTTTTCTGCTGGCAAGCTAGGATATGAAAATGTGCTGTGGTGTTTTTCTGCAGAACTGTCGTGCCCAATCTCCAGCTTTGGGGGTGTCAGGAAACAATTGCATTGAAGGCAGCGGCTGGACCCTGTGTTCCACTGTTCACACCCCGGCTTTGTGAGTGTGGAGAGGGAGCTTCAGTGGCAGTGGCAGAGGCTTTGAGAGTACTGGTAGGTTCTTTAACTCAGTTGTTCTGGAAGCAGCTTCCTTATAGGGCACAGGTAGCTGCTTCCATGATGGGTCAGTTTTGCGGAGGTGTTCTAGAAGCTTCCTTGAGGCCTTCCCTAAAGCCTGCTCCTCCAGCCCTTCCAATGATTTTTGTAAGCATCTTATTGTCTATACCATACTCTTACTGTTTCCTATACTGACCTCAGACTTAAACATAAAATATATATTGTTTCTGGTCCAAATTTTCATATTGCTTCTGATTATCTACTGGAGAAGACTTGCCACACACACACACAAACAGTACTTCTAAATATTCACTTGAGAAAGAATCAACCATGGGGAAAGAAACTGAATGCCTGGGTGGCACAGGTGGGAGGAAGCCTTACTTTTTTACAGTTTACCTTTTGTGTACCTTACACATTTTGTTCTCTCTCTCTCTCTCTCTCTCTCTCTCTCTCTCTCTATCTATCTATATATATATATAGTCATGAGCCACTTAACAATGGGGATATATTCTGAGAAACTCATCAGTAGGCGATGTCGTGGTTGTGTGAACATCATAGTGTGCACTTCCACAGACCTATAGGCTATTACTGTAATTGTGCATGCAATAATTATATATAGCTGGCAGTGCAGTAGGTTTGTTTATACCAGCATCTCCAAATGCATGTGAGTAATGTGTTGTGTGCTATGACATTACAATGGCTATGATGTCACTAGGCAATTTATAAAGATTTAGCTCCTTTATGATCTTATGTGACCACCATCGTGTATGTGGACTATCATTGACCTGAACATTGCGATGTGGTGCTTGACTGTAGAAAGACAGCTGGGCCTCTGATTTGCACAAATGTGGCAAGCAGTATAGTAGGAGAACACTGGACTGAGACCCAGTGACCTGTGGCAAGTCATTTCTCCACTGCAATGGACTGAATACGTCTCTCCTGAAATTCATGTATTGAAGCCCTAACCCCAATGTGATGGTGTTAGGAGATGGGGCCAGAGGTGGTTAGGTCACAAGGGTGGAGCCCTCACAAATGGAACTAGTGCTCTTATGAAAGTGACCCCAGAGAGCTCCCTAGCCCAATTTCTGCCACGTGAGGACACGACAAGAAGTCAGCAGCTTGCCACCTGGAAGAGGGCTCTCCCCAGAACCCCACCATGCTGGCACTCTGGTCTCAGACTTCCAGCCTCCAGAACTGTGACAAACAAATTTCTGTTGTTTATAAACCATCCAGTCTGTGGTAATGTGTCATAGCAGCCCCAGCGGACTGAGTCACCTGCTCTGTATATCAATGATCACAGTACCTCCCTGGAAAGTTGACTGAGGCAATAATGTGTGTGAGCATTTTGTGACCTGAAAAGCACCTTCGAGAATAGAGGAATATGAGTTTCTATGTATACGAGCATGTAGATGCGTCAGGTGACATGTATTAACTCACATTAGCCTCCCAGAAACCCTACGAAGTATTACTGCTATTTTACTGACACGAAGTACTGAGAAGTAAAGTAACTTGGACGAGGCACCAAGGAACCAGGATTGGAACCCATTTGGCTCCAGAAACATTTATCTTAACTACTATGCTATATGGAAACAACCCCAGAGCACCCAGACCATCAGCCAACACAAAACTGGAATAACCTCCAAGAAGCAACAACCAGGAAGGAGAAAAGGTTTGGAAGGCTGTGAGGTCTTCCCTCTCTTTCCTTTTATAGTCAAAACCTAACTCATTGTCCACAGGCCAGCTAGCTGCTTTATTTCACCTCCGAGTGTGTTTTTCAAGCAACTTGAACATTTTCAAACAAGATTACATTATAACAGAACAGTTTGGCAATCCGATGGCGCCTGTTCATTATTATAGAATG